TACTCGGCCGGCAAGTCAAGAAACAACCAAAAAAAACAACTTTGAAGAGCAATCTACTCCAAGTTTTGAAGCAAGAGTGGGCAAAAATCCCACAATCTAAAATTGACTAGATGATTCTCACGACGCCCCAAAGGATCAACGAAATCCACAAAGCGAAAGGAAGATCTACTAGATATTAATTAAATTGTAAATATATCAATTCATGTGAATTTGACTGAAAAATTTTATTTTTTCTCCAAAGGTGGTGTCTATTTACTTGTGACCATGCTGTGTATTGTCCTTTTATTTCTTTTTTCTTCAATAATTCCATAATTATTTCCAGTACTTGTATATACAGGGTGACCATATATTATTGAACCACATTACTAATTGAATAGACTGAAGGTTAACATCTAAGGTTTTGTTCATTTGTACTCTTCAACATGGCTTAGTTTGTTGCTCAAAGGATCTCCTGGTGAAAACCCATATACATCTATGTACATGCCAGCATTTTTGAAGTAATCATCATAATTGTATTGATTATTATAGCACTTAGTATTGTCATATTCTGTACTGTTGTCTTGTGGACAATATCCTCCACATATTTCCTCACAAATTAGTAGGAAAAGACTTTAGACATCAGTCTCCCACTTGACATAAACCACAACTGTTTATCTGGTTCTTATTCTATTCAGAAGAAAGTGGTTCAATGATTAATGGTCATCTGTATATTTCTAAAGTAATGTTCTTGTTGTTATTATATCAGAATACTTTTGAAAATAATAATAGTAAGAGTTTTTTTTTTCCCCATCCTTTTAGAAAAAAAAAAGATACATAAATATTGCACAAAGTAATCTTTTGTGCAAGTCTGTACATGAGACATTACAAATTTGAGATCTCTTTGCTTAAAGCTCTTCATAAATATATAACTATACCTGACTTTGAATTTTTAACTAATGTGGAAACTTACCATTGTTTAGGGCCAAAATTCTTAACCCAGATAAGTTCTAAATGGAACCTTGTATACATCCATTGCTCAATATAATATTGCCAATTGTAAAACCATAAGATTGTGTTTCTTTTGTTTTATGACAGTGTGGACATGTATAGAATTTGGTACATTATATCATAAATTATTTTTTAGTTTTGATCTATGTAGTTAGCTTGCTTAGATCAGAAGTTTGTATAAAATGTTTACTATTAATGTTTTAATCTGTAATCAGAAAATTTCTCCATCTGCTGATCTGATGAGTACCATTGACAATCTACGATCTCAACTTGATGAAAGCAAGCTACGAAATGAATCCTTACTTTCACAACTCAGTTCTGTCGTAGTACATATGGCTTCCATAGTCAAAAGGCAGAGTTTAATATCTCCTCAAGAAAGTCATGAGGGAAAACTATCAGATAAAGAAAATGAGGTGAGATTTAAATTATGTTTCTGTATTTACTTGTCAAGTTTTAAAAACTCGTTATTTCCTAAGCCAAAGACTAGAAATTTAGAAATATACATTATAAATGGTTTGATATCCCTAAATCCTAACTAAGGTGAAGTCAATAAAAAACACGAAAGTTTTAAAGGGAAGGTGAAAAATATGGAAATGAAGTTACAGTAGTTCTTCTATTTAGTATCATGTGGACAGTTGCACATCACAAAGAATTTATAAAATATATTTTCATCCCAGAAAACAAAAATATTGAGTTTTAGTCACTGTGTTGCACTAGAATTATTCAATGTTCATTAAACTAATTCAATGCTAACTGAATAAAAAACTACACTTTTATTAGTACTGTACATTACATGATTTTCACACGTGCAGAATAATTATTGCAAATTTTAATGAATAACAAAACTGACAAAGCCACGTGTTTGGACCTAATGACAGTCCAAAAGAAGAGATTGAAACAACAAGGAAGCAGAAGTACGTGACATTGAATTAAAAACTTTAACTGGAAGAATTTAAATGTTAGAAAACAAAGACATGAGACCAAATGTGTAAAAGTATAGACATTTTTACACTGTTTTTTAACTATAGTGAGCTAAAACATACTAAATCAAGGAATCTCTATGTTTACTATGTAAAAGTTTTATTAAGATTTAAGACTGGATATTTTAAAAGCATTACCAGATTCAAGACTTATTATTTTAAAAGCATTACCAGATTCAAGACTTATTTTAGTAATTTAGTCAGCACCAGAAGACTAATCTGACAGTCCATGAAAGAAGCAAATAACTGACTGATATTCGTCATTACTATATTGTGTAATATCTTTGATCATAATCTATATTTATAGGTATAAATAATAATATTATTACTGGGCCCAGGGGTCCCTTAAACTTCTGAAATTATCTTGTTCAGTATGAATTTTTGCATTATTAAAATTGAAATGATATGACCTAGGATAAGTAAGTAATGCTTTTTACATTTCTGGACATTTTTTTTGCACACAATTTCTGAAATTTGTGTGTGGGACAAGTGTCCTAACAAGTATTGTTTTGGGTTTAAGTGTCCTAGCTGTTTATGACAACGTTATATATACAATATGAGGGGAACATCTTATATATGGGTCTCACCAGCCCTGCACTGAGAAAAATACATCTCAAGAGTACTGAAAGATTTAAGGGGTCCTCAGCAAACTTTAGGAACCAAGTACAAATATGATATGCTGAGGTGTTTGAATTTCAGGGCACAAAAAATTACTTGGTCACTCATCCTTAATAGGTAAAAATAGTCTTGAGATGAGTGAAATTGTAAATTTATCTGTCAGGGGGAAGAACTAAGCTTCTAAAGAATGTAAACAGTTTGCCCGTCATTTGTAACAGGGAAAGTCTGGTAATGTCACCCTTGAAGGTTGAGTATAATGACTAAAAATATTTTCTAGGTGGTTAAGGAAATGGAAATTTTTATTGCCCAGAGGACAAGCAGATTCAAAAGGATTTTTCTATTTAAAGCCAGGACTTACTCATACATTGTCCATAATTTCAGCCATTTATATCTTAAATTAGAAGGTGCAACACTGCCACAGAAATGTTGGGAAATCATGGGGACCTGGCTGACTCACTGTTTAAAAGATCTGGGAGCCTCTGGTAATCCTTAGGAGCTTCAGTTTGTCAGGATGTTTTATATCTCCATCTTATGGTTCCAGGAGATAAATTTTGCTAAGGTCTGACAAGGAAAAACCTTTTTTTTTCTATGTCAGTGTAATGTTAACTTCTCTTAATCAAAAACATAGCAAGTAAACAAGTGAAATATCATCGTAATTAGTTTTGGAGGATAGTTTAGAAAATAATGTGAAACATTGTTTTTCAAAGTTTATCATTGTTTCAAGGAATATTTATATGTCTGATCAAATATGATTACCAGTCTCCTAGCTTTTTTCACATTTAATAGGTATTGCTTTCATTAATTGACGGTGTTTTATGTACTTGTAGAGAAAATAGGTACATGGAAGTTGAAAAACATTACTACATGACATAGGTGTAATATTGGATCAACAAGATCTATTGTGAAGGAACCTATTCAGTGATATCTGGATAAAGAGGCTACGATTTCCAGAAATATAAATGTGATGGAAAGTACTGTAATAATGAGATAGATGTTGACTTTGTAAGGATTGTGAAAAAAGTGTCTGAAATAATTTTCTTAATGAATTCACAATTTTACTGCATCAAATGTGACAGCATGCAAACAGCTGTGCACTATTTATAAACATTGTGCAGCATGCTCTCCATGGGAGTTTCAGTAGGGTTGACATACAAGTCTTATTCATGTTTGGATCCATTTTGCATGGTTGAAATCTTGGCAACAAGACAAATTTTTTAGTGATTGCTATTCTCTCCAAATTCAAAATGAAACCTGAATGTGGGTTTAGAGGAAAGCACAGATGTGTTCTAACTGTAAAAGGTTGTGTAGTGGTGGAGTTATAGTTTGTGATGCTGTCTGTGCATTTGGTTTTTAATGAGTTGTGTGCAGCATATCTACACATATAAAACTGCCATTGATATAAAGACATTCTAAATGAAAAGACCTACAGAAACCTTGGCAGCATTTTTTATTATTTTTTTTGGTGAGCAGGCCAATTAATTTGGCCAATTAAGTAGGATATCTAACCAGCACAAGAGCAAATGCACAGTTTAGTTTACCAAAAGAAGTTTAAGAATCTTTTTTTTTCAACATAAAGTTAATATCTAGATAATCTTTGTCTAATAATATTAACTCTCCATATACAAGCTTGGTCATTTTGGTCAACCCAGCAACCACAGGTAACCATGAAAGTATACATACTATATTTTTTAATGTAGTAAGTGTATCTTCACAAATTTGGAAAGCTTTTAGTAAGCATTCCCAGTCTTTTGTACACAAAATATCAGATTTTTTTAATTAAGTATTTTTACTAAAGATTTTTCCTTAAATTTATAGAGTCAGAGTACAACTTAGATGCTGGCTAGTCTGAGTCCAAAGTGATTTTTCATGCTTTTTTCATCTTATAGTTTTCAAGCTTCATTTGCATAACTCCTAAGACATCCTAAATCAATATCAAAAGCCTTTTGTATATCTTATCTGGTATTTTCTCTACCCATACAGTTTACAGACTCAGTCCATTTGACCAACCTTCTAATCACCACAAAAATATGAAATAAGTTTAAATTACCCCTTTTTCTTTCTAGAATGACTGCAGATTGTAACAGGTAATTACAGTTAGTTATTCTAAAACCAACCTTTAGTCTTCTGTTCTATTCACAACTGCTTTCATTTAATTTTATTGTTTTATTGCTCTTTGAACTGTGTTAACTACTAAACCTGCGTAAAAAATCTAAATCTCCCAGTAAGCAGCCAGCTCAAGTTACGTAAATGAATAATCTAATTGGGAGCTTACATGCAGACCTTGCTGAGAAATTTTTTATTTCACATTTTTTATTTATGTTTTCTTATAAAACCTATTAAGTTTCTAATTTTTACATTTTAGTTATTTGTATAATGATGAAAATATGTATGTAAAAAAAAACAAGAAATTTAGTTCTTGTATCTGGTTTCTTGGTAGGTTTTTTTTTTGCTCTCAGCCATTGAAGAAACTTAACCCTACATTTTTTGTTATGATGGTAATAGTTCATAAAATTGACCCCCAGTGGCACAGCAATATCTATGCGAACTTACAATGCTAGAAACTGAGTTTCGATACCCATGGTGGACAGAGCACAGATAGCCCTTTGTGTAGATTTGTGCTTAAATACAAACAAACAAGTACATAAAATCAGTTTTGTTTGTTTTAGATATACAATTAAGAACACAATAATAACATGCACAAAGTATACAATGTCCTATAACTATTATAATGTTGCTAGCTTCCTACCTAAGATATAAGTGGCTTAAAATAATTTCCTAAGCTCATCTATAAATATGTATACAGAATAATTAGAAACTGCAATGAGAATTAATTAATGTTATGTATAAATCAGTAAAGTAAAATCTGTTTTTTCTGTTGGTTATAAATAATTTAATTGTAAGCATCAGATAGAATTACTGATATTTTGTGAAAGAAAGGAAATGATAGGCAGGTGTGGCATGTGGGTTGGAATTTTTAGTTTATATCTAAGTAAAACAAGATGATTGGAGGCTATAAAGATAGGTTATATCTTAGCAATATATATATGTGTTTGTAATTTGTTATTTAAACTTGGAAACATAAATAGGGGTGGAAAGATTATCTAAAATGTGCACTTTGAAGTGAACAAGTGTCAGGTGATACTGAAAAGTGAAGCTTGAGAATGTGTTCAAATATTTCATTTTGAGATTAAAAGTTAAAAACTTGTATGTTATTAAAATTTGATTTATTAACTATGTATTGAAGCCATGTTTACTGATAATGAGGTAGCTTAATTAAAAATTATATATATAGGTTGTGACATGAACAGTTTCACATATCCATAGCTAGAGGGTTAAATTACGTTTCCATTAAAACTATAAAAAATATAAATAGGGGTGGAAAGATTATCTAAAATGTGTACTTTGAAGTGAACGGGTGAAGACTCAGAATTTTTAATATTTCTTGCTGAAATTAAGGTATTAAAACTAGACAGTTGTATCTTTCACAAATACATCATTTATTACAACCATGGTTTTGCCAGTAAGGGCATCATCAGGTAAATACTGAAATGTTTTGTAGCAGGGTTTATATGTAGGTTTAAACAAAGTACCGAAAGTGACCTTGACATTCACCTAGAGAGAAGTGGGGAGGAGCTTAAGTTGGTTTTTTCATTCAGAACATTTTCTGGATTTGTTTTTAGACATCTATTTATTTCTAAAATTTCCAGACTGTCTAGTTTTTTTACCTTTTTTTCACAGATATATATATAAAAGTTTGCATTTTTTTTTTCTGGATCAAATTGGTGTTTAGTTTCAATAAGGTGGGATGCAAGGGTTGAATCCATATTCCTTAATTTCCAGCTTCTAGAGTGTTCTTTAATTCTTGTTTCTATGGAACTTCCTGTTTGACCTATATGTACGCTATCACAATCTTGACATGTTAATTGGTAAACACCACTGTTGCTGTACTTTTCGATTCTGTCTTTGTTGTTGCACAACATTTTTCCTAGTTTGTTTTTACAGTAGAAGTCTGGTCTGTAGATTTATTTGTTCAATGTGTTATATATTTTGTGAGAAGGTTTTCCAATGTAGCTTATCTTAAACCATTTCTTTTACTCGTTGTCGATTGGTACAGTATGTGGGTATATTGATTTTAAATTTTTGGCTTTCATTTTTTTCACCAAGTACTGATGGTTTCAAGTATCAATTATATATTAAAACTTATAATTTGAATTATAAACTACATTTTAATGCTAATGTTAATGTTATTGACATACACTGAAGGTAAAAACATTCTTGGGTTTAAAATCTAACTGCAACAAAAATTTTATTTTATATATATATAGACAAAAACTTTTTGATCTGTTTTGATAGTAACCATTTGATAGTAACTTTCGGGTTTATAAATAAAAGAAGATGCTTAAAAATAACGAAAGTTTACTTGGAACTTGTATGCAATTTTTCTCATTGAAAATAAGGAAAATTTATTTTATATTTCAATGAATGAATGATATAATTTGTACAATGTTCAAACATTTCTGTTCAGAGAGAAGTTTATCGTTTGCAAAGAATGATGAATAATCTTGAAAAGTTCCTGAAAAATGAAAGAAAATTTCACACCAATATATGTGATGAAGATAGTCATGAGATTGAAAGAGTAAGCATGTAATTAATTATTATTTGGAGATAGAAATAAGAATCTGAAAGTCTTCCATGATTTTTTTTTTCTAGGTTATTGTTCACATTTTGTGCAACAGCTCATTCTTAATTTCTAATAATTATGGTTGAAATACATTAAATTGTTTATAGGCTAAAGAAAATAAGTTCCTCAAGGTTCATCAGTTAAAAATAATTTACTATGGGATGCAAGTTACTGTAAATATGGTTTATGTAGTTTATTGTTAGCAATTCTGTTGTTGTTGTTGCTTTGTTATTAGCCAATAAGGTTGAAAAAGTGAAATCTTTGTTATCATTCATATAGGTTATTTTGGCAGTTATTAACAAATGTCCGACTTGTAGAAAAGTTTAGTGTATTTTAGTTTTTGTTTTATTTAAGGTCTAATCCTTATATACCTATTTAGTGAGTAGAATTTGCTTTAGGCTTAGGTTTGCAACTGAAATCATTGCGAAGTTGTCACAGTTTGTAGTTGTTTTGTACTTAAGATATTTATGTATCATTCCTTGTATTTTTCTCACATTTTGTGAGCTTCAAACATAAGTAGAAAAGTGTGTTAACTGCAATAAACTGGTTATGCAATAAAAAGAACATCTTAAAAAATATGAAGAAAATGGTTGGTCCCAACCCTATTATAAGGATTGCTTTGAATATTCCAGAAAGAAAGTGGCTGGTTGAGAATTATACTCCATTTTCATGACATTAATCAATTTAATTGTAATTTCAATTAATTGATTATTTTACATGACACTAATAAATGTAATCAATGCTCATAGGTAATTGATTAAGCTAGTTAATCACATGGTGGAAAAGATTTTCTGAAGTTTCCATGTGAATATTAAGCTTTCCTCCTACCACAGCTACTTCTAAATGCAATTGGAAGCCATTGTGTATAGAGTGCATTATTTCCACATCTTTTAAGATGAGGACTTTAACAGTGGTGACAGAGAAAATGCAGTTTGTTGAGGATTGGAAATAAAGAGCAAAATCTGGCAGTTGCAATATGAGCATTAGCAGGGCTGAAGCCAGTTAAAATTGGGGAGAAGGAATTAATGAAGATAAAAGATAAGTGAGGTCAAAGTTATTAAAGACACTGGTTAGAAGTGACACTAGATAAATAGATAGGTAACAGAGATCTAGTGACTTGTGGAGAGGGACTGTTAATTACTTAAACCATACAGTTTTATAACATTGTTCGGAAATGCAATTAAAAATGAAAATGGACTCTAGAAAGAAGAAAAATAAACTGCTATTATAATTATGCGTACGTCTTGCAATTTATTATAAAGAAAAGTTTTTTCAATAAGAAATTTATGATACTAAATAGTTGTATGATATTGAAATTATGTATTACAAGAAATATTTTGGATGTTCACTTGTTAGTGTTCAATGAGAAATCCAAATTTGAAAATAGGATATAAGTTAAATTTTATTTGTTTAAAGATTAAAATTTGTATGAGATATTAATGATTCTTTCAGATATCAGATGTGGGCAAAAATTTGTTAATGATAATCCAATATTTCAATGAGAATTTATAACTGATTAGGGTAATACATTTAATAAAGAGGTAAGATTGTGTGTTTAAGTTTTAATTTGTTCTCTCCAAGTGTGGATTTCTTACTAGAGGTTTTAGCTCACTTCATGGTTGAATTTAATGTTTTGTTTTTTAACTGGATAATGAGGATTAATGCTGTGTTGAAGAAAAATTCTAGCTTGTCACATAAGAAAACAAAATTTAAGTGTAATTTATGTAAACAACTGTTAGAAGTATTTAACTTTAAATTAGAAAACAAAAATCGAATTTCTTGTATCTATATAGTTCACAAATATGAAGAACAAGAATTATCATTGGAATTGCTTTAAAAAAATCATATTTATGAATATATCAGAACATTTTTTTATACTCTCCAATCAAGTATTTTATTAAATTATTATGATAAGTTTTAATTCCTCTCTGCAATTAAAAGACATCCATACCTCGAGCACAAAGTGAACCTCTGCGTAAAGAGGAGAAAGGAATCCAGACAAAAGATAGGTGTTTAAGAAGTACTACACCACCATTTTCTTCAACTCAGCTTCAAACATTGACTGACATACACTGTTTGGAACATGATCAGGTGTATAGGTTGAAAGACTTGTTGTCTAAAGCCCAACAAGAGGTAAGATCATGTTACTTTAAATTAATTTCCATTGAAATATTCTAGTTCACTAGACATGGTTAAAGATTTGTTTCTATTGAATATAGTTTTGTATCAGTAAGCTAGGTCATGTATTGATATCCATTAATTTTAACCTTACATGAAAACATCATCATCACATACAAGCTAATGTTGCCAAACATTTCTCTTTGGAATGTTCTTCGCAGCCAGACGCTTTCACGTTTATTAGTTTTCACATCAGTAGACATGTGTTTCATGTGCTAGCTTTTGTTTTTCTTTCTTTGGTTATGCTCATGTCATTTTACAAATTTTGTGACTTACCCAATGGGTGTGTGTGAAGTTTGAAAATCAGAAGAATAATTTAAGAACAATGTATAACATGTTTATATATATATCAAAGATATTAAAAGGACCACCAGGTTCAAAATAGTGTATTTTTAGTTGGTTGGTTTACTGAAAATAGACAAGAAGGTATCACACAGTGTAATAACCCAAGGTGTCAACTCTGTAATTTAGATTATATTATTAAAAACATAGATAAAAACCATTATGCTTAAACCAAAAGATCTTTTTCTTGCAATTCTAAGAACTGTAGCTAAATGTTAAAATGTACAATAAGTTGTGAATGTTACGTAGGTCAAACTGAAACTTTAAGATATAGAATGAATCAACACAATTTTCATGTTAAAAACCCAAGTCAGAGTCCATTCAGGTGCTCTAAACATTTTTACAATTGTAACTTATGTGCCCATGGTATATTACAAGAACCTTTCTTTTTCTGTTTTCCAATTTGATCATGTGACAACCAACAAAATAATTATCATATAAACGTTATTTCATAAAAACAAAAAGTATTTAGTTATGTTTTATTTACATTTTTTTTAATTAAATAATATATATATTTGTTCCAATATTTTTACTGGGATATATTGTATTTAATTAGGTTGGCTGAAGATCAGTGAAAACACTTCCAACTGAATAAAGATATTAAAAAATACGGTATTTTATACCTGGTGGTCCTTTTAATATTGTTTATATATTATTATGCTCCAGAGGATCACTCCTCTTATACACACACACACACACACACACACACACACATTGTGGGGACACATAGCTGCAAGAAGTTCTTAATCTTACCCAAAAGTGTGTTGAGTTGGTCCAGTGGAATGACCCTGTATTGGAGAAGGAATGTTAACTATAATTCCAAACTTACTATGTGTATTTACACAAAATGTAACAAACTTTTAGTAAAATGTACAAGTCTGTTGTATACAAAATATCAGATTTGTTACATAATTATTTGAACTCAAGATATGTTTGTGAATTGCTAATGTCAGTCTGACTCAGATTCTGACAAGTCTGGGTGTAAAATGATGTTCATGTGAAGAATAAAAATATATTTGACTATCATACAGTTTGTATATTACATTTACTTGACCTCTAGAATCTCCAAAATGCATATTTACAGTTGTTTTCTGCATCTGGTATTTACCTTCCTCTATCAAGGACTGTTGATAAATTAGCAAAGTACAGTAAAATGAATAGTTGATAACTCTTACATCAAATACATAATGCCAGGTTGAATGGTACTAAGTAAAACGTCACAGAAGGTGCACTTTTACCCACACCCATTGACATTAGGTTAAACACAAGCTCTCTAAGAATAAATGATACCTTAGGAACAACTATATTTTTTTAGTATCTTGATAGTATATCACATGTGGAATAAAAATTATAAATGTGTCATTGAAAGGTATGCTTCTGTGGCTTGAAAAATGTTAATGTGATAGATTAAATAAAAACTGTATAAATGTGTCATTTAAAGGTATGCTTTTGTGGCTTGAAAAATGTTAATGTGATAGATTTATGGTTATTGTTTTTGATAATGTGCGAGAGAGAACTAACACAGTAATACCTACTTTGGGGCTCCGGATTGCCTTGTTCTTTGTTATGGTAATTTTAATTATTATTATTAGAATGCTCTTCTTATGGTCTGTTTGTATATAGTTAACCTTAAGTAGATGACTCGGTTCAACTGTACGTCACAATATTTTGTAGTTACTTTTAAAATTTAATGTAATGCCTTCATTCTTTATGTACATCAATACAATTTAGCATCAGAATGTACTTTAGAACTCATATTTTCAATAAGTTTTATTTCTTATTTTCAAAAGAATATATTTAAGAACTCTCAATCTTCACTTTGTTATCACATAACATTTGAGCACTCCAATGTTCTTTTAGTTAGTATAACTCCAAACTTCTAGTACATATACTGCCTATCTTATTTTAGACACAAGCTTTACACAATTCCAAAATCCAATGTCATGGTGTGAACTTCCTAATGTCTCTCTGTTTACAGAGATATAAATAGATCTTTTCAACTAATGATAGTAACCTGTCTCCTGATGGGTCAGTGGTAAGTTTATGGACTTACAATGCAAAACTTTGGGACTCAGTTCTCTGCAGTGGACACAGCAGATATCCCAATGTGACTTTATGCTAAAACAAACCACACAAGAAAAAAGCCCCATCTATCTCTTCTTAACTTTTAACGCTGTTTCCAAAACTTCTTTGTCTAATTTGACATACTAGTTTATAAACAATAGAAAGAGCTTTTTTTAAACTACAAGCTTTCAATTGTTCTTTTTAAAATTGGTGGTAATATATAATAACAAGACTTCTTGATTTGTTAACTTGATGATAAGGGAACTTGTCGCTCTCATCATTTCACATTTTTATAACCTAGTTATCTCTCCGAAGGATGGCTAAATTATAGTTAGACATTCTATTTTAGGGATTTGTATGTATTATTTATGTTTAAAAATGCTTATCTGAAAGGTAAACTAATTTTTCTGTTGGCAAAGGCTTAGGTAACAACAAGTGTATGAGTACAGAGCTGTACCCTCACTTGTATATAATAAGCTTGCATGAAAGGAAATACTTAAGTACATGCAATAAGTGTAGTCAGTAGTTTCAGATGTCCTGTAAACAAAGGAAAAAATATATTTGAATTATTTACTTTGTTGGCAGATTCAAGTCCTTCATGCTCAAAATGAAAACAATGAAACTGTTGCCAGAAAGCAGACAGCTCTAGCTAATTACTACCGAACTCAGCTGCAAGAAGCTGGCTGCTTTAGACTACCTGAGAATCTTCTGTTGAGTAAGAGTGATGGTGATGTAACAAGCGGAAAAGAACATAGAGACATTGATGTAACGTCTTCCATGTCAAAGACGAATCAGCTTTTGATGGTTAACTCTGTTTCTCAACCAAATGTTGATAACCTTTCACACGGAAAGAAGCATATTTTAGAAACTGTAAACAAGAGTATGATCTCTCCAAATGTCCGTCACAGCTTACCTGCATGCTTAGATGGTGGTAGGAAGAGTGGTGGGTCTCCCTTGTGGAAACAACTTCAGTCCCATAACCTCTCACACTTTGGTCATTCAGATGATGTCTGCCAACTGAAAGAAGAAGTCTGTGTGCTTGTCTTGAGAATAGAGCAACTAGAAAAACAGGCTCAGAATAGTCTGGGAAATGTAGATAACACAGTAGGTTCTATGTTTGTAATTATATTAAACTACCATTTTAGCACAGAACATCACTAGCATGACTTGTGTTTTTGGATATGCATGTGTATATTTTGTATATACTCTGCTTGAGAGATTAGTGCACACACGTAGAACAAAGACTGTGGATAGTTAAATATTTACTTTTCATTTTTGTACTAAACCTGTTAAACTTTGATAAAGCTGGAGGTTTTATTTGAAGTTATAATTATTTTACTATTGCGTTTGAACTAATTTATGTTAAGCTAAAACTTTGTCAAATCTAACTATGAAAATTAAGATTCCACTCATAAAAAATATATATGTATAAATAAAAGTAAGTTCTAATTAAATATCTCATACACATAGGCACTCAGTTTTCACTACCAGCTGTATATTGGATGGAGCACTTTGTATGAAAAGTTTCAATTTTTTAGACCTCAAAAACCAGCTTGGTTCACTATATTGGATTTTGTCACCAGATGGTTTTATGTTAAACTAAATGAAATTCCTATTCAGGAAAAATGCAATCAATTCTCAGTGATATAATTCATTAGGTCCTGTTCGAAGACTTAAATATTATGATAAAACTAATTTTGAATGACAATGAAAATATCTCAGGTTATGCATCATGATGAGATGGACAAGCTGCAAAATCAACTATTCTATTCCCAGAGAGTTTGTGAATTACTACAATCTCGTCTGGAGGAGCTTGCTGACTTCTTGGAAAAGCTTCTGGTTTATGATGGTAATGGCCACTTAAACTCCAGTATCTTGACTCCTGAATGTGTAGATCGTGTGAGGCAGTTTCTCACAGAAAGTAAAGAACTTTCCAGGACCTTGTCACATAGTTTGATAGGTAAGGTTTAGTAGGTGATATTCATGATATCATATAATGCATGTACTTACATTACATATGATGAAAATTCTCTGAAATAGTGAAATTTTGGTTCATTCCATAAACACATGTATAGCGATTTAGGTGGCTTTATATGTACAATAAGCTTTAGTTTTCTTAGCAAATACTGTTAATATTCAGACATTTTAAAGGTGGTTTTAAATGGTCGATTTCTATGGCCACCATTTTGTTCCATCAAGATCTGTACTAAGTACTACTGGTTTCCAACCAAATGTGTATCAGGTGTATCTAGTACTTTGGTGACCCATATCAAACAATGAAAATCCTAGTTCGAGGTATTACTTTCTTTACTTTTTTTCTACAAAACTATGTGTCATTTACTTTACATATGTAATTTCAGTTAGCAACCAGCTTTTAGATTATTTATTCCAACCATTATTCTGTCATTTTTTTTCTTCCAGTTTCTGGAAGTTCTAGTGTATTTGAAGGCGATAGTACACTTTACTCGTCTGTTCATCATGACATTCGAGAACAACCTACAGTTTCCAGCCATCTTGGGGACTTAAAACTGAATAGGTGTGTAATAAAAGTGCAATTTTTCAAAATGCAGAAAGCATTATATCCATTGTAACATTATAAAATGTAATTGTGTTTAAAAGTGGGAAGTGAAAATGTTTCCAAAGGATTATTGTTCCAGGTATAATTGATACGTTAAAAATAATTAAGCTAGTGAATAAAAAAAATAATCGTTTTTTTTTTGTGATTTATGTGTAGTGTAGGTCTAGAATTGAATAAGCTGTCACTAAATGATATTAATAACTTCAGTTTAATAAATAGTAACAGTTCAGATACAGCGTAAAAATATGTCTTTATATAACTTTTTATGTCCCAAAATAGTGTTTATGTGCGCACGTGAATTTATTTTGCCGTGGATTCTTTTTTTTCAGAAATATATATCATTTACAATGACTATCGGGTAATAATCTTACCTTTGTTTAATAAAACTGAAACATAAATACGGGTTTCATTAAAATTGGTGAGCAACGTAGATTAGCTGCTACTTTATCACGTAAGTCTAAAACAGCAACTGTAAAGATAAGTTTTACAATACACTTCCATTTAGTGCCATATACATAGAATTAGTTAAATTGGAATCTATAGTGAAGACATTGGTATAATATAATTCAGTGGTTTTCAAACTTTTTTCATTGACACCCTAACTCACTTACCTTGATTTGCACGACACCCCTGCTGCCACATGCAATTTTATTTTTGTAGAGTTTTTTTACGTTCTTAATTATTCTTTGTTTGGTTAAACTCTTATGACATCCATAGCAACTTGCTGCAGTACACTTTGGAAACCTTTGCTATAAGCACTTACTGAAAGAGGGCCATTGGCAGCAGAATTCGTAATGATAATATTTTATTAGATAACATAATGAATGAAGAGTTGCATGACATTTTATCCTCTCATTGCAACTATAATTCCTCTCCCTAAGTTTATTATTCTATTGACCTTGTACCCACCAGTAACTTTGGCATCATGGTGATTTATGACTCTTAATGTGAAAAAGGTCGTAAATTTTAGGAATGTCATGAAATTAACCGAAATCACAAAAACAAGTAATTAGTAAATCATTCAATAAAGTTTTACATAAATGATGCGAAAAATAGAACTTACTTACTGAAAAAAATGGAGTAAATAGGGTTGTAGACATAATTCATGAATGCATAGCATACTTAAAGAAATTGATTATCACAACAATAGTGAAAATATTATGAATGAAAGATAAGTTACTGAGTATTTAGATTCTTTATTTGGGAGATTTTTTGTCATTCTTCCCAATAAAGTTGCTAATAACTTGGTTTTCATTTGTTAAAAAACTAATTACAACCTTGCAAGTAACCAAGGTTTAATGAAAAAAACACTAACACCTTTGGGGAACAACATGTCTTTCAAAAAATACAGAAAATACCTATGGGAGATAACTTCAGTTCACAGTTTTATTTTCATACATAACAAATCTTAATACCAACAATATATCTATAAGCATAACTAATGTGTAAAGCTGTTATTATAGTCCTTCTCAATTCTTATACCTAATCATCATGACTTTCTTGGTAGTTTCAAACAATTGAGAAGGACTATAATAACAGCTTTACACATTAGTTATGCTTATAGATATATTGTTGATATTATTGTACCTAATCATCAAGACTTTCTTATCTTTTACTAATATTTTTTACTAATCATTGTATAGTTTTTGTCATTTATTTAATTTATTTAATATTATAAAGTTGTTTTTTTTTGTACTATCTGTACCATTTTGATACCTTACCTTATAGTTAAATAGTGATGTGTCATAGTAGTTTATCTCAGATGATATGCTGCTTTAAAGTTACATTGATAGAGGTATTTAATAGGCTTTCATTAGTCACCAGACATAGTTAGAGAGGATTATATGAAGAACTGCTTATGCTGATCTCAAGTTCTTCATGGAACATGAAATTTGTGATAATACATGAGCAAACCACTAGTGTTTATGTGCTGCGTAACTAAGCTGTATTTTGTTCTTTTTTAATGTTACTTTCATTAACAGTATATTTGTTAAAATGTTTAGTATATCTGTTTTGCAAACTTTTTATTTTTTATTTAATATTTAAGTAAATATTACAAGCCTAAAATATTTGGCAACAGTTTCACAAGCTTCACCCTAAAGTGAAGCAGCTTCATAGTGAACTGTTATTTCACTACATCGAGCCTGAAAGCAACAGATAAGTATGGACCTCCAGCCTGAGTGATCACTTAATACTTATTGCCAAAAATAGACATGTTTCTGGGGCTTGGAACAGAAAAAAATTCTTACGAAATTGCATCTCAAAGATTCTTACAAGGTGGTCAAAGCATTCAAGGAATCAACAATCTACCTGCACAAGAAACTTCCCTTAGATTCTCGTATGTTAAAGGAAGGCTATTATGAGGTTTGATGCTTCCCTTCATGACAAAAAAAAAGTTCCATTTTGAAACACTTAAAAAGTGTATCAATAATCCTACCATCAGTTTTGCCAAATAATGAGGACATTTTCTGCACAGAAAAGTATACAACCAAGAAGTTAACCTATAAATGCTAGAGTTTACAGTTAATCAGAAGCCTAAATGGATCCAGCTCATGAACAAAACCATGATGAGTTGCTTCTATGGACCTCACATTGAAAGCAGCTTTTTTATGCCATGGATGACATTATTAAGTAGAAAACAGGAAGAGAAGACATAAACATTCAATGAAGTATGACTTCAGGACATCAGAAACATTTACTGTGAAGAAGTCTAGCCATAGTGGTCTTCTGTATAACCCAGTGTCACCAAGGCATATATACGTTAGAGAAGGAAATATAGAAGATAGAAATGAGAAGGGAGTAATTAAAACTAAAGAAACAATATTCTATGAGCAACTCAAATTTCAAAACACTGGTACAGTTTGCTGAGAAGGTTAAATAGCCCTATAGAGACAGTGGGAATCAAGACAGTCAGAAAGAAAAAATCAGAATCTCATACAGCACATTATTAGTCTTTTTCTATGTGTTCATGTTAATGGAATATCATGAAATACATTTTGTGTGGTGAGAGGGTTCTAATAAAGTGGCCATTCAGTGAATATGGCATTGAAAAGAGGGAGGTTTTCATATTATAAAACATCTTTGATATTGATAAATTTTCAAATAAATCACTGTTTATTATTATACATTAAGTCTTAAGTTGACTTATATTGACTGTTTCAAATCTAAAATATTACTTTGGGAGTTGGAACAGTACATCACTTATGTTTCAGTGATATAACAACAGAAAACTTGTATCACAATGATACTGTAGTTATAATGAGAAATTTTCATAGAAAATTCTAGTGATATTTTAATTTTTTTCATGCAAAAGAAACTCAATTCTGGACCACAGTGACTTAATGAAGGATAAAACATCTCAAAGGGACAACGACCAGATGGATGAAATAGCTACAGAGTTGCATAGGTAACTATAACACTTGATCAGCAAATACTGGTTTATTTCTGTTTTGATTTGGATATTGTAATTTTCACACAGGCAGTTTGGAGTTATTTCTTGCTCAGTAATATTGTACTGTTACTGTTAGTTAAGTATTTCCAGTTACAATTTTATTTTTCAAGGAGTAATGATACTGCCTTATAGCTTATATTAAACTGTGGCTTATTTCTTAGAGGGTGTGCATACAGTTGCTCTTTTGTATTTTAATTTTTTCTAAATATACTGCACAATGGTAACTATTAATTTTAACTTCAGCATTTTAAGTGTAAGGAGTTTCTGATAGTACCCTCTTTTTTTTCTTCCAACCTTTTAGTTGCAAAATGTACCTTATTTTGTTTGTTTACTTGTTTTAATTTTAGTCTATAAGTTGCAAAGTACGTTGGATATTATGAACCTTGAAATGAGTATGCAAGTCTTTTTTCAGTTGTCAAAATTAATAATTATCTTATAAATTTATATTATGTATTTTTATAGTTTGTAAATTTTCTAGAAACTTTGAAGTTGTTAAGCTAACAAATATTTCATATTTTGCGTAGTATATCTAATTGTTTTTAATTATGTAGGAGCACTAACAACAAGCTGTAAAGAAAATTTCATTGGTTAAGCATCATTTGCTTAAAATCAACATTTGTCAGCAGTATTTTTTATTATTTTTCATTATAAATAGTATGTTTTTCTTTAAACTTAGACTACTTTTAAAGTGAAAATTAGATTGTAAAGAAAAATTTAAAGAGGTTTGCTTACTGTTATCATTTTGGCTCTTGATATTTTTTTATAATAGAAAGCAGGTGTTTGTATATGGAATTATCAAGTTTGACTATTTATTATTTTTTTAATGAGCTTTACTCACTGCTGTTCAATTAGGCTGTTGTTTGGAATTCAAATAAAGTAATTCTCCATTCAACAGATGAAATGTTATAAACAAAAACATTGAAGAAATAAATGACACTGTATTTCCCCAGGGAGACATATGCATACTTCAAAAATCAAAGTCTGACATTTTCTACAGTGATGTCACACTAGCATAAGCAGCTTGAGAGTCACCATTTTAGTAACATCAACAGTTAAATGATGAAGATAGTTAATTTCTTTTCCTTACCAAAATATGAATTTCAATGAAGAAAAGATGACATAGAGGCCTAATATATTCCATCCACAGAAAGTGATGCTTTGCATTTGGTGGGACATCAAAGGAGTAATTCATTTCGAATTCCTCAATCCACAGCAAATTGTCAATGCAGAGATCTATAGTGAGCAAGTGGAACGTTTAAATCAAGCCCTTCATCAGAAATGCCCTTCACTCATCAATTGGAAAGGTGTTCTTCTCTATGACAATGCACGTCCACATGTGGCATGTTTGATACAACACAAGATTATGGAGTTGGGTTGGAAAATTCTCCCCCACCCACCATATTCTCCAGATATGGCACCATCAGATTGCCATGTTTTTTCATTTGCTGCAACACCATCTTAATGAGAAAACGAATGCAAATGTGGAAGGTGTTAAAGAGGTCATCAATATGTTTTTTGTTTCAAAGCCAAGTGATTTCATTAATCAGGGCATTAATAACCTGATTGTAAGATGGAAAAGCATCATCGATAACAATGGAGACTATTTTATTTAATAAATGTTTTGTTTTGATATAGAAGTTGTTAGGTTTTTTTATCTGAAAAAAAGCGACATTAAATTCTCGACAACCTAATACATAATCTTTTAGATGGTGTTTGAGCTTTTTTGTTTTCACTTCCTGAAAAAAAAAAAAAAAAAATTAACTTCTGTTTTCCAGAAAATTTATTATCTAAAAACAAGCCAAAAGTACAGAACAACTCTTTTTCTACCACATTCAGTGTTTCCCTAGCAACTTTCATGTATATATGAACTGTTTCTGATTTACCTGATGTAGACTTCTTATGTTATCATTTGTATTCTTCAGCATAATTTCTAGACATAGTTTAACCTGGTAAGATTGAATTTAATACTCAAATCCATTTTGGGCAGCTAGTTGTCCATATGGAAAATCATCAACAAACAATGAACAGCATATGGAGAAACACCATGATTTTTAGTGCTAGTATGATGTAATATAACATTGTACCTGATTAACTTTTATTAATATTTCATAGGTTAAAAAAATAATGCTATGTATGTACTTGAGATTTTTATTATAGCCATACAAATAATACAATTTTTATACACTATTGAATAACAAATTAATATCATGCAAAATAGATGAAAAATTAAGTATTTTTTATGTAAGTTTTCAGATATCATTTGCATTAGATTTTGTGTTTGAAGTGACATTGTAATTTTTTCCTAACTTGGGATATTTTTAAAACCTACAAATTTCTTCTTGCTTGAAGCTTCTAATGTTGAATTCCAGCAATGTATAAGGAGTATATTACTTATTAATACCTTTTATTCACTATTAATAACGCTTTATTTTGGGGGGCATAAATAAAATAAAATATACCAAATCACATTTTTGCCCCACCCCGCCCCATTGGTTCGGCTGTAAGTCCAAAGGCTTATGATACTAAAAAAAGTGGATTTCACTACCCGTGGTTGTTACACCACAGATAGCCCAATGTCTGGCTTTGTGTTTAACAATAATCAAACAAACAATATGTGAATTTACAAAATAAAGATCTGGTATATGTATTGCTGAATGTTTCAAATATATCATGTAAATCATGGTGTACTAACTCTTTAAAGATAGGTTAGCAAATTTTTATTTTTAAAGTTAACTATTTTAAAGCTATGTCAATTGCAGCTATTATTTATATTATTTTTTTTTTAATATTATTATTGTTTTTTCCATATATGTGTGTGTACAAGTTGACAGGAGATTTTATCTTTTGATACTAGGTTAAAAGTGCAAGTAGCAGACCTGGAATTTGAGAAACAGCAGCTGAAACTACAAGTGAAAAATCTCCAGAATGAAGAAAGTGAAACAAGTGAAGGTAGGGATATAGACAGTACTGCAATATACAGTGCTGATGAAGTTTTGTCCAGTGTATCTTCTTTCCATCAAAATCATAGTTTGAGGAATGACATGCTGACACATTCTAGATACCATTTGGTGTCTGATACCTTTACAGATGGTGTAAGAAAGGAAGGTCAGAGCTGGGAACAAGCAGGACAAGTTGTTGTGTTGGAAGCTTCAGATAGTGATGATATTCTTCTTCTCTTAAATGATTGTGGATTGCCACTACACAATTCACTGGAGAAAGATGAAGCAGCTGTAAACCCAACCACACATTCTTTACCACAGCAGCAAGGAGAAAGATTAAATTTTAGCCAGAGAAATTTAGCTGTTGTGATGAAAGGTGAGCCAGAAATCTCGAGATCGAAGCATGTGATCTTTGGAAACCAACAGCTATCGGGCATTGTTAATGCTCATTGTGTGTCCTGTCCGTCATCTGACTCTGACATATGGTCAGAACCTGATCGTAATGTATCTCTTCAGAGAATGGGTATGACCTCAGACAATAGTAATTTGTATGGGCTTGTGGCCTATCAGAAGTATCCGAGGAAACAATGTTCTGGAGAAGACTGGCATTCAGGTGATAGTTCCAATAGTGCAAAAGAGACTGAGAAACTGGCAGTTAGCAGTGGTAAAGATGTTTTTATTGTACTTTGCATCTGCATGTTTTGTAGAAGATATGCTAGCATGTGATGATCTTCAGATGTTCTGTAATGGTGTTTTATTCACAAGCATGTCTACCTGAACAAAAATCACATTGTTTCCTTTCATTTTCAGAAGACAACAGTTTAAAAAGCACTGTAAATAATACTTTTTTTTAAAACTTCTCACTATGGGTTTGGTGGATTAAACAAACCTCATGACCCCAAAGTGACAGAATAACTGTTTACTAAATATTTATACACAAAAAATGGAATTAGTGTTGACTGCTCCAAGTGGAAAGTGATTTTCATGTTAAGATTAAAAATACTTCATCTGAAAATTTCAAAAAGATTATACTTTTTTTTCAGAAAAACTAATTTTTATCTACTATTTTCTCTAGCCTAACTTTATATGGGGTTGGTCAATTTGACCTACCTTATAAACACCATAAAAATTAGGAAATAACATCAAATTACTTTTTTTTCTTTATAGAATAACTGCAAATTTATCCTAAATAGCTAAAAGCACATAACAATATACATCCATTTATACTTAATTTTATTGTTTAATTTCTCCCTGAACTGACTAACTAATAATCCTGCCACACAATTTGTAAATCACTTATAATAATAATAATAAAGAATAGAAAATGGAAACTAAAAATCTAGTACTTACTTGGATCATCTGATTCCCGTGAGAAAAGAATTATGTACTATAATATATATATATAATTTGATAAAGTAAAACTTTGGCTTTCCATTGGTATAAAATGGCAAAGAGAAAGCTATTGGGAATTTGTATAAGAGAGGATGTGACAAATGGTTCTGATTTTCTAGTCTAGATTGAAGGCTATAAAAATTATGCTTTTCCTGAGTAATATTCATATATTAATACAAGTAATTTATGTTGAATATTATACTTCTCAGAAGGGTTGTAAATATATCGGAGAAGAAGGAAGACCAAGAGAGGAAATGCCACAAATCTGATACTAGATGAGATTGAGGATTTTAAACTTAAATAATCCTCAATAAAATTAAGAAATTTGATTTATTAACTACATTTTGATGCCAATTTTATTCATATACATTGATAATAAAGTAGTTTAATGAAATTTTGAATGCAACTCTAAAGAGTTGTGACATTCACTTTGACCTGCCCATAGTGAGAGTGTTAACTGTACAAGCATGAATATTTTCAACAGCACAAGTGGTGTATACTTATTTATAATTTACTTTACAGTCTTTGCTTCTTAATATTGTGTTTAGAAATTACTGGCATGTTTGCATTTTTTAGGATATTCATAAAACATGTAATCAGATTTAGCATAGGTGTATATTTTTAAAGTTTTTTTTTTCTTTGGTGCTCATATTGAAATGTCATTGTGCTTATGCAAGATGATTATGTAAATTTTGCACATATATACACATGTAATTAATCACATTAATTAGATTGTAATTTTTTATTAATTGAGATGTCTGAAATAATTTTTTTTACATCAAGCTCGGAAAGCAAGGAAACAGAAGCTACATCCTGATTTTCATAGAATTGAAATGCGTCTTCAGAATGTTGAAAAACTTAATGGAACTTTACAGAATGAGTTACGTTCACATCAAGAAGTCATTGGGAAAATGTTGGGCAAGATCTCAGACATTACTCCATCTGGAGAGGTATAAGAATTATTTTATTCTATCTAAAAAACGAGATAAAGTATTATTTTAAATGATATGAAACATTGGTATGCTGTCTTAAAATTAAACTTAGTTTTATAGTAAACTCTCTTATATATCTAGTTCTTCCTTTAGTTTGAGAGCTGCTCCCAGTGACTCAGATGTAAGTCTGCAGGCTTATGACACTAAAACTGTTTCAATGCCTATCGTGGGCAGGGCACAAAAAGCCCATTGTGTAACAACCTGAAGAGCTTTGTTTTTTTAGTAATACTGTTTTGACTTAGGTGCATAATTTTCTATGGATAGAAGATAAAGATGATAAAGTTTTACAATTATGTATCCACTGATATACTAGATAATAATTAGGTAAAATGTGTGTGAATATACATTTGTTTTGGAAGTATGAGGATATTTAGTATTTTATTTGTTACTGTAACAATGCATATGAAAACTGTACAGGTGTTTTTGTATATTATGTTGTAAAAAAAACTTATACTAGTTTAATTTGATATTAAAGATTGTAAAACACAAAAATTAAATGAATTCTACTAAGATGTATTCAAAAACATTGTTCCTTTTACTTAAGAAATCAAGTCCAATGACTGCTGTTCCCAGAGGCTTAATAGAAGATCATCTCCATTCTCTAAAGGTTTTACAAGAAAAACTTGAAAGAGCTATAATTTCAAATGAGCAGTTGACAGAAACATTGAGAGGAAGATTAGGTATTGTAACATCAACAGTTTTTTTTTTTCACAAATATTTACATTTAAAATTATAGGACAAACTTACACATAAGATTATTTCTAATCATTTAAGGTAACATAAATTTTTTTTACCAGCCCAGTAATGATTGAATTAATTTGTATAGATAAGAAAAGAATACATAATAAATGAAGCACATGAAATCCATTTCATCTAGTTTCAGTAGTAAGGAGTAGTACCTGTAACACTTGCATATTGGTGTGTATTTATAGTAGGTCAGCTTTGTATCATTCATTCAAAAAATGATCAATGCTTATTTGTCATGTGAAGGCCCTAACTATGAGAATGGATGTAGATAAAACAGGTTTAACCATAAATGCAAGTATTCTATCATATTCAAACTTCTAATAGGTAATAACCAAGTTATAAGAAGAGAGATTTTCAATAATTGTGATATGTATATGCATGTCATGCTGTTCACAAAAATGAAAGTTTAAATAACATGTACATTAGGGAAAAAAAAATCAATGTTTAATATATATTCTACATTAATTGGTTGTGTATTTAAAATTCATACACTTTCATTTGAAGATAAAAGTTATTGGGTAAAAGTAACCTTTCATAAACATACAAATGTGGCATTTACTTGAATAAGGAAGCACGTTATGTTAATATAATAATAGGTCGGCAAACAACGATTTTTAAGCATGCGGAAGAGTTTTATTGAAGGAGGAACAGTAAAATATTTTAACAGAATATTTATGATCAGGTATGATCTGTACTATGCAATACAGGGTTTATATATAGTTATAACTGTCTAAGAGAAAAAGACTAGAAGACAGTCATGTAACAGACCACCTAATCAGTCTAACAGAATATTGCTTAAACAACACTTCCCTTACATACATAGTCCAGTTTTACAAACAAAATAATAGATTGGTGATGGGATTCCACTTTTCCTCTCTACTTAGTGAACTATTCATGTCCATTCTAGAAGAAGAACCATTTGGAAACAAATTCACACACATCAAGAAACCTCAAATCTGGCTAAGGTACATCAATGATATTTTTATTATATATATATGGCAACATGGGAAACGTACTCTACTTAATTTCATTGAATTCTCAAACACCTTGAGACTCAATGTCATAATTTTCATACATGAAGTAGAATATAACAGTTGTCTCCCCATTTTAGATGTTAATGTAAAATAAGAAAATAATAATGTTACCAGCAGTATATACAGGAAACCCATTTGATCACCGTGCTGCTACACATAAGATCAAATCACCACCTGTCACATAAAATATCCTCCTACTTCACATAAGTAAATTGTGCTATAATACTTTGCACCCACAAAGAAGACTTACTAACTGAATTGAACTACTTAAAGAATATAGCACTATCTAGAAGTTTCAAACCCAATGTCATAGATAGGGCTTTTATTAAACTACAAACTGTAAAAAATATTATGTTAACTCTAACCTTTCACCTAACAACATAAAACATTTGCAAAAATTTGTGGTAGTGTATCTGTGATAATGGTAAAATATTACACAAAGTCGTCAAGATAAAGTAAAGAAAATTTCATGTTCTTTATAGATGTTAATACAGAATAATGTGAACATTTTGAGGGCTGAAATACCAACTTCTTGAATTATCAGTCCAAATAACCTTGCTGAAGGCATTGGATGATTTCAGTTTATGATGTTTGGGTTGGAGCCACCATGTGCATATTGTAATTTTAATTATGTTATTTTACTTGTGGGTCAGAATCTCAAATGAAGGCATATTTGTAATAGGTTTGTATTTCCATCACTGTACGGGTCTTACTTCAGATTTATTCTGTTACCAGGGCACCTTTTTACATTACCTGTTGAGTAGCATTTAGCTTTTTGATCTTTTGTTGTATTTTTGAATCAAAATTTTGTTGAAGGTATAAAAATGCTGATTTTATGTTTGTTTAATTGCAAGCAATATGCATATGTGTATATAAAAAAAAATTATTATTAATTTGTAATATATATGCTACAGTGTTATTTTATTTCATATCTGTTATTTTGCTTGTGGGAGGGGATAACTCAAAACTGTTGATGCATTTGGACTAAATTCAAAAGCTGACTTATCAATATATGTAGTAATTTATCTTTGTGTTTTAGTGTGTATGTATTTTAAATTGATGTGTGTGTGTGTGTGAATGTAAAAAAATTAACTAACTAAATTAATATGCATGATGGGTTATTAAAATTTTTTTCCAGTAAAACACTGCTCCATGTTTGCAATTAAAAATGTTTTGGGTCTTTCTTTATTTTACATTATTTGCTTAAAACATTGACTTGTGTATTTAATACATACATAGATATAAATAAGAAGTTTACATGTCAGCTTATTTCTCCTTCTTTAAGAGGTGGAACAAGAACTTGAAGAGAAAAACCAAGCATACAGTAAACTTTTGGAAGCTAAAAACCAGTTGGAAAAGGAAGTAAGCATGAAAGGTCACTTACATCAGGAAGTTCACACAAGACTCCAAAATCTAATGGAAGATGTTAGTGACCTACGGGCTAGACTTTTTGAGAAAGATCAGCAAAACAAACGTGCACAAGATACGATGGTTGCCATGGAGAAAGATCGAGAAGCTAAACAAAAACAGTGTAAGGAAGTTCAAGACTGGAACTTTAGACTTCAGAAGGAAATAGAAGAAAAAGAAAACATCTGTAAAAGTTTACAAAAAAAAATAGAAGACTTTATGGAACAAAATGCAACTCTTGAAAATCTAGTGCAGCAAAGTGATAGACGCCTAACTGAAATTTATGAAAAGTATCTGAAAAATAATAGGTCAGAGGAGGAATGTACTAAACTGGAGAATGAAATTAGTAAGAAACAAAGGGAAGTAAGTGAACTGTTTAGAGCAAATGAAAATTTACGTAATCAATTTATTGTGAAAGAAAAACAAGTTGACACTCTCGAAAACGACAAATCACTGTTGAATTTGGAAGTATCAAAACTCAATGATAAATGCATCATCAGTGACCAAACAGTTTCACAGCTTAAAGAAGAGTTATCAAATACGAAAGAAAAACTTGCCAAAATAGAAAAAGATTGTTCAGAGATGAAAGAAAAAATTCATCAGTCTCAAACTAATGAAAATAATTTTGTGACAAAAGTTTCTGAAACAGAGCAGCAACTTCTCAAAGCTCAGTATCAGGTTACAGAGTTACAGAATAAACATGAATGGTTGGAAGATCAGTTACATACAAAAGAGGAGAAACTGGAGCAGTTTAGTAACAAAATATCCTGGTTAGAGAACCAAATTGATCAGAAACAGAAAGAGCTTGAATTATCAGCAGACAAATGTGTTAGGTTACAAAGAGAATTCCATGAACACAACCAACAGTATGAAGTAGAAAAAACTGACTTTGAAAAACAACTAAAAGAAAAACAAGAAGAGATTAAGGAGTTAAAGTATGAATTGAAACTAAGGGAGGAAGAACACACTAAATTTCAGGAACTAGAAATAAAATGGGCAGAGCTAGTAAGAGAAAATAAGAGGCTTCAAAATAGAATAGCTAATTTGGAAGATAAGCTTCAGGAAAAATATGATATTCATGATGAAAGAGAACTAAAATTTAATGCTCTAGAAAAACAAGTAACTGAACTTGCTAAAATGAATGAGAATTTAAATAACCAACTGATTGTGAAAGAAAAACAAGTTAACAGCCTCGAGCAAGATAAATCAATGTTGTCTTTAGAAGTATCAAAATTCAAGGAAAAGTATAGTACCACTGATCAAATGATTTCACAGCTTAAAGAAGAGTTATTATCAACTATGACAAAACTGGCCAAAATGAGAAAAGCTTGTTCAGAAATGGAAGAAAAAATTCATCAGTCACAGACCAGTGAAAACCGTTTTGTGACGAAAGCTTCTGAAACAGAACGGCAACTTCTCCAAGCTCAGTATCAGGTTACAGATTTACAGAATAAACATGAATGGTTGGAAGATCAGTTACATAGAAAAGATCAGAAGCTTCAACAGTTTAGTGACAAAGTATCCTGGTTAGAACAGCAAATCAATCTTAAACAGAAGGAGCTTGAAACATCAGGAGACAGATGTTTGAAGTTACAACAAGAGTGCCATGAAAACAACCAACAGTATGAAATTGCCAAACATAACTTTGAACAACAATTAAGAGACAAAGGACAAGTGATTGAGGAGCTAATGGAGAAAGTAACTTGCTTAAAACAACAAGTAAAAGAAAGAGATCAAGAGCATGGTAAACTTCAGGACTGGAATATGAAGATACAAGAAACCATTCAGGAAAAAGAAGTAAAATGGATAGAAGAATTAAGTGAAAAAAACAGACTTCAAAATAGAGTAGATGCTTTGGAAGAGGAAATCAAGCACTTGAAGGAGGAAGAAAGCAGCAAGATAGACAATGGAAAAGAGCATTCTGGATACCGGTTTTCAGAGTTTTTTAAAGAAAAATCAAGGCAAGTTTTATACGAATAGTCACATTATCATATTACATAATAGTGTTCTTGCTTAATGTAGGGAAAAAATAGTTATTGTTGAAAGAAATGTTTCTATATACAACATGTTTCAGAGCATCAAATGTACAAAACTTTGAAACATGAGTTTATTTACCTAATTGCTTTCACTTTAGGACTCGTTCAACTGTATACTCTTATTAACCTGATTATTATGTGTCATATTGTATGTAAGTTTTTGTATGAATGATATTCTTATCTAAACTGTGACATGATTATATGGTGATATTTGATAAGAATCAAATTCAATTCAATAAATTAGTTTATTAAAAAGCTGTGCTAATATTTTTTATGTTTTATTGGTATATTACAGGTTGGAAGAAGAATTAAATGCAACACAGCAGAGGTTAAGAGAAGTTACTCAACTAAATAAATCACTGCAGGTTGAACTGAAAGTTATGGATAAATTGGGGATTCAAAAAGATGATCACACTATTGTTGAAGGTATACTAAAGCTTGATTTGAATATTGTAGTTAATAGCAGTAACTAAACAAATCCCTCTTATCTGTGTTCAATTGTCAGTAGCCCATCTTTTCACCATATAAATAATCTTGTAAGAAAAAGTTTCAGTATCATAGTTGTCAACAGGTTGTAAAGGTAATCAAATAAAGTTTCATCTATGAATTATTGAAATTTATTTAAATCATTTTTGTTTAAACTGCAGCTCATAGACTGCATTAGTACAATGTATTATCACTTATTTTTCCAACTCTATGCTAGGTTAGACACAATAATCAGGAGTATTAAGAAAAGAAAATGTGATGTTTAAATTTAGACCTTCTATAAGCGAACTTTGTAAAATCATACTCCATTATAGTTTTAATACATTATTATTTTACCTGTTGTGTGTAGAGTTACTATAATTCCTCAAATACATATAACTATTAGTCGACTAAAATTAGACCATTTTTTTCTGACACATTTTTAAACCAGTAATTTTTTATTCTGCTTTAGTATACTGTGGTGACATTTCATGTCCAAGTTTTGTATGACTATCCCTGAATAATTTATGTGTAATGAATAGAATGGTTATATTACATATTTGAACCTGGTACAGCTGTACATGTCGTAAAGAGCATAGTTATATTAGATATTTAAAACTGGCACAACTCGTATTGAGTGATACAGAGGGTTGAGTTATTATATGATTTCAATATGCAAATTAGGAAGTCACATGACAGCTGTGGTGTAACAGCATGTATCTGAACTACATTTTGACATTATTTAGCATTTTGAAGGTAGTGTGATACCACCAAAAACTGAATTATTTGGGGTTGAGTATGTAGAATTTCCTTCACATAGTTATTCCCTGTACTTAATGACATTGGAAAACAAAGGAATACAGATCAACTTGTGACTCCAGGAAGAGATCTCCAAAAAATTGTATCTCCAGCAGTGGTAAGCAAATTGCAGACTTGTATCAGGTGATAATCCACAAACAAAAAAGTTCAGTATCAAAACTCTCCTCATGCCATAGGCAACAGAAAGTAACATAATCAAGAAGAATCTATCTGGAGAATCAATACAAGTTGTTCCAATCACAAATCTGTTCAACCATTGCATACTATAAGAAAACATGTTGGTCAAATTGCTGGATGCAGCATCTGTGGATTTCTGTATAGTCAGATTGTTGAAATGCACACTGGGAAGTGGCTGTCTCAAACAATAGATGGCTTATGAAAAGCAACAGGGATGAGGGATGTTCTTTGGACATGACAACATTCCACAGAGCCTTTTGCAGTGAATCTTTCCTGCAAGGCTACTGTCAAAATTCATGATCTGCATATGGTGACATGGACTGTAATAATTTGATGAGATTTTTAACATAGTGTACTCAACCTCTGTACATCTCATAAATAGCATGGTTATATTACGTATTTGAACCTGGCACAACTATTTTTGAATTATTAATAATTCGTACATGTCATAAATAGCATGATTATATAAGATATTTGAACGTGGCACAGCTGTCCTTGTGTGATTAACAATTTGTACATCTCATAAATAGCATGATTATATTAAGTATTTGGACTGCCACAGCTGTTTTTTAGTTCATAATAATTTTTACATATCATAAATAACATTTTCATGTTACATGTCAGTGTTCAGATTTCGACCCCCCCCCCCATCTCATCTCCAGGGTGTCCCAATTTTAAATTATATATTTAACTTAACAACTGCCCTTCCCTGATAAATTATTTATATACATGTCATAAATAAGCAATGGGTTATGTTA